CAGCAGTGCGCAACCACGATCCCTCACTCGTGAGATTCGAACCCAGGACTTACCAGTCTCGTGACAGAGCACTTAACCGATAGACCACTGAGTCGGCATCCAGCGGTGTTAATGTCTAACCTCAACCAATCCACGAAATTGCGCGACCAACTTCCATTGTACTGAGGTAGATACCTGTCTCCACCTGATATGGATTAAATCCTCTGGTCACGACTTCTCACTAGAACTCCAGGAATTACCTCAAGGAGTCAGTCACTAGCAGTAATCTTATATAATTTATACATATCGTTCACTTTATGGTTAATTGAGCACATATTAAGAACAATAATATTTGTTCATCCTTAATTTATGTAACTCCTATTAATTTACATCATGATTCATTTCTATTTCATTAATATTCATGATATAATCAGCTTATCATAGTAGGAATAAATAGAAAAAAACTTAGCATATCATATCATATATGTTAACGAATCAAAGCAGGATATCTGTATTCAGGATGTCTTAGATTTTAGTGAGAACAATAGTAATAATCATCATACATCATTTACCTAATACATTATCAATGTATTCATTCAAAATTGAAAGCAACTAGATTGATAATTCATTTCAGAATGTCAATCAATTGTCGCCGATATTGTTTATCATCAGACAATAATCCTTGATTCTTAGTTTCAATAAAGTGATTATACCTTTCATTGGTTAGTGATAATCATAATAATAATAATAATAGTGTAAAATTCTTTGTTGACATTATTTCCAGAGACAATATTTTGCAGATGACTGACAAGTATGAATTACATATACAAAAGTAAAAAAAGGAAAAAGTGACATTATAGTAAGCAACTGAATTTTCATATAAAATTGTCTTAAAATGAAAATAAAATAAAGAATATAGAGATTTATAGATAAGTGTAGAAGTAAGCATTGGTGATACATATTGTCTACAAAAACAATGAAAGGTTTACAGTTAACTAAGAAAACAACAACGGAATACTGTACAAATTAAAAGAAGTCATTTGACTTGATTGTAGATTTTATCGGATTGTTATTTCTACTATTATTATTATTACTAATGGCTTTATTCAATATTATAGAATTCTCAGCAAAAAGTATCTCAAAAAGTTTTCTTCGCTTATTTCTTGATCAATATTGACTGATCACCAGTTAGATGTTAGTAGTTCAGGAATCGACATACGAATAACGTTCATTCTTTTCAATGCATATTGCCAGCCCACCACAATGTCGCTGATAGAGCCATTTTGTAACTTGTACAGCAAAAGGTCGTACACTTTTCAGAAACGCACCTGAATAGGTTATGCGACTAACAGACATAATGATGTGTTAAAACAAAGAAAAATAACTTGTTGAAATATCTAGATAGCAGGAACAGGTAGCTCTGATATTCAAGCAGGCCGGCTTAAAGATGATGAATGTAGAGAAGTGAATTCATTGGTTTATCTCAATATTTAAATTTTCATCAAAAAAGGAATGTCTAATTATTATATATATTTGATTAAGTTACAGTATTTTCATGAAAGACATTATATACATAAATTATAGTTTAATTTGCTGTTAGTTAGTCCAGCGATTTCTGTCACTTAAAATGTATTCATCATTTGAGATTAAGGAGTTGTAAAAAAAGTTCTGAATAGTATTTTAGCAAGCTGATTGTTTCACTGAAACAATTTGAGTTGACCTAAACAAAAGAATATTCTCAGATTATATGATTCTAAAAAAATAAACAAATGAGCTTCACGTGTTATGGTGATGTATTTCAGTAGTATATATTTTTGTTCGCAATTTTATGACAAATATTGCTCACAGATACAATTTAGGTAAAATAGAGATTCCAAAAAAATGTCAAATGAATTTAAGCTTATTCAGACTTAATTTTTAATTAGTCGAATTTAAAAATACATATCTTCCTACGAACTTATGTGTACAGTTCATCCAAGAACGATACACTTAGTGTACATAAAGACCTTCGTATTTCAGATTTTTAGCACTAATCAATAATATTGAAAAATGGAATTTCAAGCATCAAATAAAAAGTCGCAGTAGTTCTAAATGCCGATGCAACAATAGTCATGGATTTCTATGCATATGAAGAAAGGAAATAAGTTTGACTAAGAAGAAGAATTAGAAATATTATTTGTCAGATGACTAACAAAGTATGACGTAAAACAATTTTAATTTGAATACTCCATTATGTACAAATCAAAATGGTCAGATTACATTTCACTTGTACTAAATGAATTGTATGGCAAATAAATTATATACATGAATTATGTATTGCGGACTGATAGCGAAGTAGATGAAGCAGTCAACTTACCATGATTAACTATTGAGTTCAAAATTTGATTCATGTACTTTGCTTTCAGCACTAGCTCAAACATCTACTGTAGATCAGAATCGAGTGCATAAACTTTAACTCAGTAAATAAGCTACATTATATATTTATCTAGATGGAATGAATGTATCTACAACTTTTATTAAGCAAACTCCTATGAGAACTCTATGGCTGTAGATTTAAAAAACAAACTATCATGAGACGTTAATGATAAAAACCGTACATCTGAGTTGGTAGACTAGTCCCTTCAAATAATTAAACTAAGCACTTTACAGTAATTACTTTTGTATCCTATGTCCCTATATGCTTTACCTTAGCAATCAACAGAATATACGTCAAACATTAAAAAAAAAGTATACTAATATTCTAAATGTACACCTATCATGAGCAAACCAATTTAGATCATTTACACAACTCAAATTCGAAATCAGTTGTTTTCTGTGGCAGTTTCATTCAGTAAGCAAGTAAACTTCATACAATAAAATGCAACGAATAAAAAATTAGGGGACTTTTGGTAACTTGGTGTTTTAGTGGGACTTACCTAATTTCGAAATAAACAAGATCTAGTTGGTCGATGCCTTCATCATTTCCATGAGTGAAATGGTGGGACAGGTGATTTAGTGTTCAAATGGACTACACGTAGGCCGCTTTAGTGACTAAGTAGACGTTTAGTTAACACGAACAACTTTTACCCGATGTTCTATAACAATATATAATATTTGGGATAGAAAATGTTTCCCTGACCAGGCTGGTTGATTCAATAATTTAATTCAATGAGTTGTAACAGAAGCAATGTTCAATATGTGACTGGAAGATTTTTCTTAGATGGGTTTGTCCGAATATGAAGCAGTCGGATTTGTTTGATAATCCTTTTTTCTTTGACACTTTCACCCTAATAATGTTGCATAATTTCTGTCATTTAATTCTAACAAGCAAATTTCAACCAACCATTGGCTTTTTTAAATCCATTTAAAGAAGTTCGTCAAATAAAAGTAGTTTATCAAAGAACAAGTAAAAAGTAGTTTAATAGTATAATTCGAGTTAAGATTTTCATATTTCTTTTTTGTAAACTGAAATGGTAGACAGAACTGTTTCGATTATCCTAATGATTAATGCCTAGAACATTATTTGAATAAGTTTAACAAAGCTGAAGTTATTATTAATTTTGTCGTTTTATTTTCATTGTAATTAATTACAATGAAATTCTTTTAATGAATATAAATATATGCGGGTTCTTTTGTTTTGATTATGATAAACAGTCAATATTTATTAATAATCAAAGTTGTACAAATAGCATAATCTCATTAGATATTTACTTGAGAACAATCGGCAAGGAGTAATTTTCAAAAATACTGTTTTTTTTTAAATAATCAGTTCTTCATGAGATCAATACACCCTCAACGAATTCAAAAGCTCATCTTTTATGGGTACTCAAAAAGATCATAATCGTATGCAAGGACTGTGGAGATTATTAGATCTTATTGTCTAAATCATGGACTAATCTTAGTTAAAAAGAAAACCATAAAAAATAAATAAACACTGGACAACTGTTTTGTCTTAGTACAGGACTCCTCAGAAATGTAAATCCATGACTCATCGGGGATCGAACCTATGAACTTCAAGTTTCGCAGTGTGGAGGCGCACTACGAAATAATACGTATACTAGTACGATACAGATGTCCATTAATTACTAGTTTTCAATGGTTTTTTAGCTAAGGTTAGTTAATGGTGTAAACTGTAAAATAGTCAATATAAACCGTTACGGAATGACAATGACATAATCTTTCCTTTCACTCAACACAACATTATGAAATCGAATAATAATTCATGAATTAACCATGAACATATGAGTATATTGATAATTGTACTACACATTTGTGTGCATATTACACATCGATCTATAATTTTACAATCTCCAAAAATGAGTTTGAAATTTTCAACTTGACAAACAAAAGAAGTTGTGTCACTTTTTCAACTATATACACATAACTTATAAAATTGATTCTATATATGTACCTAAAGTTGATTTTTTTCTTTAGTATTCAAAAATGATCATTTCTGTTGAATTCTTTAGTAATAAAGTTAAATCAAGAAGATAAAATTTGGCTTTTCTTTTAAAGATAATTAATTTTTTTCTTATATGCACACTCTAAATAGTTAATAAGAGGAACAGCTATACACACAAACAAACGTGGGGAACACAACGAGAAATTCAAAACATAACTGACTGACATTAACTCAATGTTAATGTCTTTGTTTAAAAAGCATTTTAAATCAAAAACGGTAAAATCTTCCGATAAACAAAATAAAAGAAAATATAACCGAACAAAAAAGTAGAACGAGAAATTTTTTTTCACAACAAAACAAAAAGCAAATTTAGATCGAAGTGATTATTGTAGAAATGTATAAGCACACCGGTGAGAGGAGAAAATTAGTACTGTAGACACTAGTGACATATATTTAATGGATGAGATAACATTGTATAACACGTAACAGGAATGAGTATAGTTGAAAAGAAGTTCTTAAATAGTACATAGATATATTTGTGTATGCTTAAAAGATATTAGAAAAACGAACACAGCAGTTAATTATCCGAAAGCAAATATACAAATGCATGAATATAAACAAAAAACTTCAGTAATTTAATTCACATTGTCATGACTGTATTAGTTGGGACATTTACAAGTACATTTATATTATTAGTATTAGTATTATTTGATTCATTCAAATTCAGTGGACTAGCAGTATTCGTATTAGTAGTCGTTGCTGTATATCGTTCAGCAGAATTAGCATAAATACGATCCCAACCGTATGGATGACGAGAACAACAAAAAGCATAACAATTCCATAAGAAACCCTAAATGAATAAATATTCAATGGAAGAAATAATAATCATAATAATAATGGCGAAACTAAAGAACATGGACGAGCCAATCAGAAGCTTTCGCGTGTTTTCAAGGTCACGGCGGTAATTTCGGAACGTGATGCCTACGTGCGATCGCTTTACAGCGGATTTTCCAGAAGACGTGATAATTGAGCGACTACAAGAAAATGGTTTATTAAGAAGCTCCTATACTTGTGACTGCGGTAGTCAAATAACCATTGTACGGTGTGCAGACTATCGTGATGATATTATCTTTCGATGTCCTTCATGTTGGAAGAAGAAATCAGCTCGAACAGGGACTTTTTTTGCTCGGTCACAATTAAGGTTGAGACAAATTATGCTCCTTGTTGCGAATTGGATAATAAAAGCACCGGTATCACTAGCTGCCACCTTTGCCGATGTAAGCGAAGTTTCGGCAGTTCAATGGTACGAGTTTTGTCGAGATATTTGTGCAACAAAACTGACAAGCGTACAGCAATTGTATGGAGGAGTGGGGAACATTGTTGAAATAGACGAAACGGTTGTAGGAAACGCAAATACAACCGTGGCTGTTGTATTAAAGAAGATTGGGTAAGTACCTCTTCTATAAATATACCTCACAGGTCCTTGGAATATATGATAGATCATTACAGAAAGGACACTCCCAAAGAGTCAGGAACCGGCAGGCACCAACAATCATACCGATTATACAGCAATATGTGCTGCCGGGCACTACTGTTTATACAGATGATTGGAGAGCGTACAGGTGTCTAGGTAGACTGGGATATGTGCATGAAGTCGTTATACATAAGCGCCATTTGGTTGACACTACTACTGGGGTGCACACTAACAACAAAGAAGCTATGTGGTCAAGACTGAAAGAGTTTTTGAGACCCTATCATGGCTCCAGAGGCAGACTACTGTAGAGCCATATGGATGAATTCATTTACAGCATGCAATATGATTTTAGAACTTCTGAACCTATATCCAACCTTGATAAGTTTTTAACTCATGTAAAAGAAGAGTATCCACTTTAATTCTTTGGTTTTGTATAATAAACTTTTACTATACACTAACTGTCTTCTGATTGGCTAATATTTCTCAAGGTCAATTAAGATTCGTTCAAAGGTCGTCCATGTTTTTTAGTCTCGCCTGGATACTGTTCTTTTACATGAGTTAAAAACTTATCAAGGTTGGATATAGGTTCAGAAGTTCTAAAATCATATTGCATGCTGTAAATGAATTCATCCATATGGCTCTACAGTAGTCTGCCTCTGGAGCCATGATAGGGTCTCAAAAACTCTTTCAGTCTTGACCACATAGCTTCTTTGTTGTTAGTGTGCACCCCAGTAGTAGTGTCAACCAAATGGCGCTTATGTATAACGACTTCATGCACATATCCCAGTCTACCTAGACACCTGTACGCTCTCCAATCATCTGTATAAACAGTAGTGCCCGGCAGCACATATTGCTGTATAATCGGTATGATTGTTGGTGCCTGCCGGTTCCTGACTCTTTGGGAGTGTCCTTTCTGTAATGATCTATCATATATTCCAAGGACCTGTGAGGTATATTTATAGAAGAGGTACTTACCCAATCTTCTTTAATACAACGGCCACGGTTGTATTTGCGTTTCCTACAACCGTTTCGTCTATTTCAACAATGTTCCCCACTCCTCCATACAATTGCTGTACGCTTGTCAGTTTTGTTGCACAAATATCTCGACAAAACTCGTACCATTGAACTGCCGAAACTTCGCTTACATCGGCAAAGGTGGCAGCTAGTGATACCGGTGCTTTTATTATCCAATTCGCAACAAGGAGCATAATTTGTCTCAACCTTAATTGTGACCGAGCAAAAAAAGTCCCTGTTCGAGCTGATTTCTTCTTCCAACATGAAGGACATCGAAAGATAATATCATCACGATAGTCTGCACACCGTACAATGGTTATTTGACTACCGCAGTCACAAGTATAGGAGCTTCTTAATAAACCATTTTCTTGTAGTCGCTCAATTATCACGTCTTCTGGAAAATCCGCTGTAAAGCGATCGCACGTAGGCATCACGTTCCGAAATTACCGCCGTGACCTTGAAAACACGCGAAAGCTTCTGATTGGCTCGTCCATGTTCTTTAGTCTCGCCATAATAATAGTAATAATGAAAATATTCCAACTTACCATTAAAATTTATATATTTATAAGAATGATTATTGATGAATATCATAAATAAACAGTAGAGTTGTACATTTTATATTGAAAGGATCTCAAATCATGATTAAATGAAGTCAATATTAAATAATCAGAATAGTTGACAAAATATGACATTAACAATTATGATCAAATTGTTATATTCCGAAGAGAATTATGAATGGTAACTCTGAGGACTGTTTATGGACCAATATGATATGTACATTTTCTATTCTATAATTGTTAAGTAACTAAAGTATCCATATTCGTGTCCCTCTATGATAAGCTTTATTTTGACCTATAGACTATTACTACATGATTTACCATTTTTTAGTTATCCCTAGTCTATTAGTTACTGTTCCCCTTATTCACAGCCCTATTTGGCCAAATCTTGTACAAATGTTATTTTCTATTTTATGGTACGATGTTGTCAGTTTGTTTGGTATATAAACCCAGTATGTTTGAGAATAATGATTCGTATTGCAGAGGCTGTTATTGTTGTTCTGAACTTAACTGGCTGGGTTAGGCAGAAAGCAGGACTGATAAGTACTCAAAACTGGTCATACGGCTTTTGTGTATCATTGCTCTGATAGATTATTCACTCCTCTCTCATTGGCGGGAATCAGCACGCTCATATATAAAGAGGGCAAGCAATCAATTGACATAACACAGATCCAACTGATTGACGAGTCAATATATAAATGCTTAATCGCATACGACAAATCTGCTGGACTGATGGGTTATAAAATATCGGCACAGATATAAACAATTCAACTGGCTTCTGTAAACTTGAGTCAACCAAGATGAAAGCAAGTTATCTTTTAGATTACCAAAAGGAGAATATACCAACAAAAATTTTAATAATAATATATAGTTTTGAAGTATACTTTATATAGTTCAATGATATGAATAGGCAGTTAGAATTTATGATCATAAATGTCTTCGGAACACTGTCCACTTATTACAGAATAACCAAGTGCGTAATGTTCGGTTTAAGTGTATGACAGTAAGTAAATATGGTAAACTGGTTGAATAAACTTTTAATATTGATATACTGAAGTGGTTACGATGTATTGGACATGTCGAGCTACCATCGAACCTCCAAACGTCAAACGATAACTAATAAAGGAGTAGATTTTAAGAATTCAAAAGGTGGCTAGACTAATCCAAAAATTAACCAACTTTTTGTCGAAAGATACAGACTTCCAGCCTGTGATCCACGAGATATTCTTAATTTATGAACGAAGACCTTTAGGTAGCATCGGTAGGAATTAATCACAGTAATGCATACGAGCTATTCATTCTCTGTGTACATATAAATCCTAAATTTGTATGTTACATTATTCGGTTTTATTCGTTTCTTTAGAATTATATTAGTTCAGTTTAGGTTACCGTACTTATCTGCCTATCACCTTATTAATTTTCTTAAGCTATGGAATTACATCGGAAAATACTGTTAACCGGGGAAAAATGTTAATAGATACTGGACGCCCTTAGTTGAAATACAATCCAAATATAATTTTTCTTTGAAATATAATCCTTCAAGTAAAACCTATTTCGATTATCTAATGCTGATTAAACAAACAGTTGATATTTATCTATCTAGCTGTAGCCAATTCTAAGGACAGTCGGGATTAGCACAAAACGGGTAGTATGAAGAAAAGACAACTACATACCATATTTGGTGAGCAGGGTGAAAACTTTACAAAAATTCATTACCATAGCTCAACTGCCAGATCAGTAGATCAAAAACTTGAGGTTTGGATAGTTCGAATCCAGAAACGATTAACTTAATACTCCGTTCATCAACCATATGTAAAATATGAGAGTAACACAACTTATACAACTATTGTTGATAAAAAATTCGAAACTAAAAGTCATGTTGATTTTTCAAAAAATAAATACGACACATATCATCATAAATATCTTCACAACAAAACATAAAATGGTACCGTAACTTGAAATAATATCCTACTTGATTGAAAGGATTTTCATCAGATCTTAAACTTTGTAAATAAGTAATACGATCATGTGCTACTGTTTCCCATGTTGTTTTATTGACTAAAGCCAAATAGATATGAAATCCAAGTATTACAGTAACCGGTACTCCACAAATAATAAGCATTATTATAAAAAATAAGAATAGACTATTGTTCTTAAACCAAATATTCCATTTTGACGCTTCAACCAATGAATACCTGAAATGGGCATAAATATATTGAATTTAGAAAATGACATAGATGAAAGTGTATACAACATGCATTACTTCATAAATTGAATATACCGCCTTCTCGTGGCGAGGGTGTTGTTCACGAAATCGAGAAGACAAAAAGCGAATGTTCGGCGCTTTAACCGGGTCGGTGGACACGGTGAGTTCACCTAGGGGAGTTGGAAAACCCTGATTCCAAACCAATGGTGAACATAGGCTGGCTCCAGTATCCCGAGGGAACAAATGGTGTATGAATCAATCGTTGATCACCGGCTACCATGGGAATGCACCTCCTTCCGATGCTCCACTGTCTTGTGTTAAGTCGGCTTACAGTAAACTCTATCAGAGCCTCCAGAGGATCATAAAGAGCCCAACCAATCAGCGATTAGTTAGAAGCTATGCTACTAAAACAACGAGGTCCTGATTGGCTGTTTAACATACTGCTACTATGGAATCTCAAGGTCTTTTAATTACTATAAAACCCCTGTTTTTCTGTACATAAATGAACCTTGTAGTAAATTACTTCTCTCATACTCGTGTCTTCTTACTGGTGTTCAAGTCGCAGAGTAGTGCTAGCCTGGGGTTATCCGAATAGCTTAGGATCTGAATATAGCGTTCAACTTATAAGATATAACACTTGTGAATCAGATCTTTATGTCAAAGGCTCCGGGTGTGGTCCCCTAAGAAACCCACCTGCTTCGGTTTGTGCACCCTGGACAGTATCACAGCTCTCACACACACCAAATGAGATTTGTGTGACGCATATATATATATATATATATATATAGTGCCCTCTTGTACCAATATTTGTGTTTAAATAAATAAACAGATTAAATAACTGCCAAAACATGAACTTATTTGATACAACAAAAGAAAAGAAACATTAAAATGAAGCAGTGTTCAAGTTGGAAATTTTATAACAAAATAACGAGTGGCGATCGAAGCAAATGGTGCATACATAAATATGGGCAATCACTAGTAAGTAATATTATTTGAAAGCATATCTACATCTTCATTCATAATAATTAACTATGGTCTGAATTGTTTAAAAAAAAACTAGTAACTATGATAGAATTTCATGAAAAATTTTTGACTGAATAAGATTTACATCTTAGAGTGAACATTTTGTGAATACTAAGTATATTCTATCACACAAGATAATTATTCTATAGGAGCGTTCAATTTCATTGAAGTATCCAACCTATCACTTAGACATTTCGTCTTAAATTACCATTATTTTCTTCACAACTGTTGTGTGACAGTCAGATAAGTAATTCTCTAAGAGGATATTTGATGTGTTATATAATTATTTCCCTAGCCCTAATACTTACTCTATTGTCAATTAATGATTGTTGGCTAACATACGTACTAATCAAACAAATCGTGTGTTCTTGAAATGAGTCGTGTTGAAGCCAGGTAGAATAGTGCTGGTTGGATATCAAGCATACAGCGAGTGAATCGCATAAGCAGTGTTCGCCTTAAGTAATTTAGTGTCCCATTAGTGAAAAGGATAAATACGGGTATTATTTCAACAACCATACGGATCAAATAGCTTCATTCACTGTACATGCTAAGTTATATATAATATGTACACATTCAAATGATCGACTTTATGTAATTTTTTCTGTACAACAATTCATAAAATAATCCATTGAAACAAACCGGGAGTTTATGGAATCAAATCCCAATGAGAAATAAATATATCGATCCTAAAGATGCAGATAACGTTTCCGTTTAGAATAAAAGTAAAAGATAAAAGATCATTAATTACAAATATTCTTACTACGATAATAATAATAATAATAATAATAATAATTATTATTATTATTATTATTTGCATTATATTTGAAATAATCTCAGAGATTGAAATTTAAATAATTCCAACATTTCGTTCAGCAAACTTATCTGGACTTCTTCAGGGTAATGATCGAAATCATCAAAGAATATTTATTTTTTTATTAATTTTATGTCTATATCGGCAATTGAACCCAGTACTATTCGCTTCAAACCCCACTGTGTTATCCACTTAGCTGCTGGGTCCCAGAATGGGCACCAACTCTGAGATGCAGGTACATCCAACTGACGAGCCCCAAACAGGACGAAACGTGCGTTCTGGATTTCACTGCTAGCCATCATCCATCTCTGCTTATAATGCTTGTGATTTGATGGTGATCTCAAGGCAATTCGCACACGATGTACATATGTCGAGAAAAATACTGATAGGTTTTGGTTCAAAACATCAATGAGAAAATTCAAACAACCAATACATATGATAATAATATTAACTCTAAATAACTTACCAACAGTAATATAAACACCACCAAATTGAAATAGTTTGACAGAATAGAAATACAACGAATGCAGAATGATTTCGTTCCCCAATACAATTCCCAACCCATGGACAGTGATGATCAAACTTCAATACACAACGATTACAATCTGGACAATGACGACAACGCAATGGTTGCTATAATATTCAACATTAAAATGAATAGAACTTAATAAACAGAAAGTCACTAGTTTTAAAATGACTAATATACAATAATAACTTGAATAAGTTTATCCATTGAATAAAATTGTGAGATTAATGATCGGAATAAATATAGATAGCGTAGAATGACCGAAACAATTATGCAACTAAATTCCATATTACATATTTTGATAGAAGACTACATAATGTATGAATTTACATGAATTCAATAAGCATACAAAATCAACTAGTTTTCAATTAATAAATGAAGTGAAATGGGGTGTATTTCAACCGTAAATAAACATAAATACAATATGAAAACAATGGTGGTCTGACGTTAATCGATTCATGATTTCAATGAAATTCAATAATTTCTACAAACTCAAACTGAAAATTATCATGTGCTCACTGATGACTAGTTTCGAGAGGGAATTCTCGAAGTTCTAGTGAGAAGCCATGACTAGTGGAGTTTGACTGTGGCAGTCACCCACCGAAGAAAATGGAAGATAGTCGTGCAACGTTGTAGATTGGTTAAAGTTAGACATTAATGAGGTTAGATGTTAAGGTTAAGCGTTCGCACACTAGACCGAAGGTCTTTGGTTCCAGCCCCGTATGCAGGATCGTGGATGCGCACTGCCGAAAAGTCCCATACTATGATGAAACGGGAGTCCACTGATCCCAGGTTTTCAATGGTAGTCTGACGTTTATCGGTTCATGACTTCAATGAGAAAAACTGATGATTAGAGAAGTTTTGAGTCATTTTCCTCTATAACTAAGCATTTAGTTCTACGTTTGATATATTAAAATAAATGACAGGTAAATTGTTTTTTTCTCATTACGGAAAAACAAGCATAAAAGTAATAGATTGGAATATAACAATGTAGTAAGTAACGGAGCATAACAATGTGAATCGGTCTAAAAGAACAGAACAGAACACATACTAACAATATAAAGAGATCAAACTTTGTTAACAAAGGAAAGATTTCAAAATGAAATGAAATGAAAAAAGGCAGAAAATTTATAGGCTTGAAACATATGAAATTTAGAAAGAAATAAAATTTGAACATAATTGTGGGACTATGTGAAGTTTTGAGTCACATTTTTTACTGTGTACGATTTCTGAATTCATTTAAGTAACTGTACACTTGAGTATAACGATCAAAACCAATATAAAGAAAATTTACAGATTTGTCTAGTAGCAGTCATCTTAGAAAATTACCTTTCTTTAGTTAACGATATGTCTTTAATAGAATATCGTAAGATATTCAAAAAGGTGACTTTATTTAAATTGATGATTACATTGTAAAAAGTAGTTTAAGTAATGGATACAGTGAGATAGATGTTATTTTATTGGTCTGAATAGCTTACAGAAGATTAGTGAATTATTGCGAGAAAAAGAAAAGCTAGCCTATTTTAAGATGTACATGTGAAATAATTGTGATTGTCATTTACTAATAGCTAGTGCAAAAGTCATGATTCAATGGTTTAACTTTCTATCAAACAATTGAATAACCACCATCTTATCTCGAAATTAAAAAGGCTTTAAGTAAAATAGTTTATTCACCTAATTAAATCATGTTTAATGAGTCAATTAAATCATCTAATCAAAATTTAAATATTTATTTTCAAATAACTGAGGTCTAAGTAAGTTAATTATCTACGGTCATTATTTAATGTATCATTGAAATAATATCAATTGTAATTTATCTCGATCAAAGTAAGTAGTACATAATAAAATACTTGTTACAATGAACTGTTATTTTAAGAATTATTTTACCGTAAGACTACTTTTTCACCTAAATCAATAAACGAACACTAACTTGTAACAACATTAATCATATATATATGCAGTGCTATTGTTAACCTAGAATGAAAAAAATAAAATGAAATACTCTAAATATTCACGCCTCCTCTTTGTCAATGTTAACAAAGATAATACAACATTAGGTATATATATATATTAATTATGCATACCATACTAATTAGATGGTGATAATAATAAGAATAAATTAGGAGTCGATAGAATCGAAGTACTTTCACAGAGAGCAATTCATGTGATATGTTGAAAAAAGAAACACTGCAATACAATAAGAAACATATATATATATATATATATATATTAATTTGACAAGTTGGTAAATATTGAGGATAAAAGGGTTTATACACTTTTTTTTTTAAAAAAAGCACTATTGATACCAGTTGTTAAATCATAAGATTACTTAATAGAATGCTAATGATTAATTTTTAGTTAATTTTTATCGTTAAACTTATATCAACTGGTTGGAAAAACTATTGAAAATTAAGAAATACAAGGATAGTTACCTTGACCAATACAACATTAGAAATACATGAAAGCTATCAACTAGTAGGAAAATTAATTTCAGGGTTTTCTGACGACTACTTACAACTACCAAGCATATTCTATGTTTGTTGGCTTTTAATGGTTTTCAATTTTTGCCAATTAATAATACCTAAAAGATCATCCAGGTTAATCATACTAAAGAATTTTGGCGACTTTAGATATTTCGTACACTGTCATTGAAAGATAGAATTCACTTTATTTTATCTTAATACAGTTGAATATAGCTCAGCAGTATATCGTCGAACTTAAGACATCTTGACAGAATGAGGTTTATAACTTAGTACGAAATTGACACCACATCTTATCAAAACATAGATAGTTAAACGATAAATTTGTTATGAAGAAATCTGAAGACGATTATTTCAGAAAATTTGCTTGAACTTATGCGTCAATTAGAATTACATCATGATAATTTTTGAATACAAAACGAAAATTGGAGTGATAATAATGAGTGAATAGCATGAATACAACCTCCACAAACCACTTACGCTTACTAGAATACATATATCACTGTGTTATTTAAAGAATATCTTTCAGAATATTGTAGAGATATACGGTTTCTAGTCTATAGATGTTGTAGGCATGAAATCAAACACATAACAAATTGGGGATTTAGTTAGAAGGAATTTCGACACTGAGTAAATTTAACATAATCAAATTAATACATGAATGCAATGCAATTTTCGGTCTAACAGGAGTTAAAATTTTTTATCTTTCTATTGGGAATTCATTCAGATAGAAAATATCTATGGTAGGATATACACAGAGCTCTCGTTTTAAAAAATCTTCAGAACTTAAAGATATTCACAAACTATTTAATTTAGTCCTAATTTTATGATGAATTCAGTTCAGTTTCCATTGTCTTTCGTATTGTTACATAGAAGTTAAGTAAGTTGAATTACAAATGTACATCATAGGATGCTGGATCATTGGTTTAAAAGTTATGCTTTCATGAGAGATAGACCGATAGGATATGAGATCCTCAATGCTGGGTCCTACACCAAGATAGAATAGCTATGCAGCACTTCCTGGCTTTCAACGGTGGTCTAGCCAAGATCACTTCGTGACTTAAGCTATGTTAACTTGATTCACTTTTTCATACTTCAGTTCACTTTTTTAAAAATGGACTATCATAAAGTATTCCTAAAAATTTATAATTTCCACTTGTTAATATAAAGGATTGAAGCTGATCAGTCTTTCATTCAGTTACAAGTTTTTAATAAAACTGCGTAATAATTAGAAGTGGAATCAAAATGAGCATTTCATCATATTTTGGACATGTGAGCTGGAGATAATTGCATCTCAAAGATAATAAGTTTGAATCTCACTGAGGGATTATCAACACTGGAATCCAGGTACATTCAGTTGATATCTCCCAAATAGATCAAAATGGGCATTCTGCATTCCACTCCTTGTCGCTACCTAACTTCAATCACCTAAGTAGACAAGTAATTCATAAAAGTGAAGAAACATATTCTATGATGAACAATGCATCAGCCGGCAGTAAAATACAATTAAATATGAAAAACAAACAATTAAATATGACAATTATTTCTCATGTGAATTAAATCCTATACTAATAGTAACAGTCTTACCTCTAGGAGACAATGATTACAAAATCTAATAGGAATAGATAAATTAACTAAAACTTCACAATCTGCATTCATTTTAGAGCATAAATTATTTGGCCAACTTTTTTTCAAATTCATAGAGAATTGATTTGGTTTTGTTTGAACAGTGTTATTTTCTTCGATTGTACATTGAGTTTCAGAGCGGTCAACTTGTTGAAAGCATGATTCTAATTGTGAATGATTCTGGTCTAATTTCAATTTCTTATAATTTATATCGGTATCATATTCATTAACATACATAGGTCGTTCATCACCAAAGTCACTAGTTAACGAAATATGACCACGTCGATGTCGAAACCATCTAGCCTTTAAAAAGACAAAACGAACCGAGTTAAAAATGATTGAAACAGAAGATAAACAAAACAGGGTTATAACTCCATGTGCACACAAAACATGCATACAGGAACGATACAGAACTAAAAAAACATATTTGCGAAATCGGACCAATTTCTAGCTATTTCAGAATACAAACAATCATATGGATGTAATAAAAAAGGACTAAATTCGCTTTTGTTGAACTCAACATTATTAAAGTACACTCTAGTTTGTACGCAGTACAACAAAACACGGATTTTCAATTTTGAGCAAATATCAAAATCTTGAAAGAACATAGCAAATTTCACTGAAGTACAGAATTTATCTGTCCATAAGCATCACATTAACCAGGTATTTAGTACTAAGTGTATCATATATATGAGTGGTTTGTGGTGATTTATCGATTTGTAGTTTATCAACAACAACGGTCCTTAACTATGCAATAAGTATAGTTGAATCAGTATGAAATATATCATAAACGATCAGATCCAATAAAGAATCCATTCAATGTAATAATTATAGGAATAAGTATGTAGCTTTAATTCTCCCAATTACAGATAATCTAGAACAAGATGTTATTGTTACCTTTTCAGCAGTCAAATAGCCTGGATCAATGCAACTTGTCAAACCATAAGTAATAAACGAAATACTGAGAAAGGCGAAAAAGCATACGAAATGAATGAAATCCTGTTCAATGAAAACAACTCGATGTAATTCTGAAAGATAAAATTTATAATTAAAAACAATAAATACCATAAAGAATAATAATTTAACTCATAAAGATTAATAAATGGACTGACTAAAATTATGAATATTTTGTTTTAAAAAATCAACCTGTTAAACAATAGATATTCGTATAAAATCTATAATAATTTATATTAAGACTACAATCTCAATTGACATGAAAACACATTTTCAAGATGGTGGTTGGAGGTAGTCAACAGGAAACCGTGGACCCGGGTTTCGTGCTACTTGGCGCTCATCAGCAAGGTGTACCTGTAATCTTGAGGGAACTGCTGCTCCCTGACGGATTCGGTAATGTGTCACCCAGCTTCACAGTCAGAGAAGTTACCACTGAGCTATTCGGCCCGCGACCGACCTCCTGTAGGACTGAGATGTAATCATTAATGATTGATCACTGGGTGATCAATGTTATGCATGTCAAGTCCTTATTAGTGCTGATCGAATGCCATCGATCGAGTCAAATAACAGAAATAATTTTAAAAAATGTGACAAAAATAATCTTACTTCAACTAAATGTAATAAGAACAGTTGAAAAATTCATTTTTTTTCACATAAAACAACTGAATATTATTATTCAAAAAATTAACAACAAAAACTCATGAACTGATAAAGATGGAGTTAAGATTGAACTGTTAATTTTGTAAAAGTTAGATGTAAGCAGATCAAGACATAACATAAATAAATACTTGTCTAGATAATATGGTTCTATACTGGTAACCGACGTAACTGAAAGGTTTTTTTGAGAGCAGATACAAATGAGCCGCACAAATCTCATTTGATTTGTGTGAGGGCTGTGATACTGCCCAGGTGCCCAAACTGAAGCAGGTGGTTTTCTTAGCGGACCACATCCCGAGCCTTTGATCTAAAAGTCTGATCCACAAGGCAGTGGAGCATCGTGAGGAGATGCAGTCCCATGGGAGCCGGTGATCAACGATTGATTCATACACCATTTGTTCCCTCGGGATACTGGAGCCCATGTGCACCATTGGTTTGGAATCAGGGTTTTCCAATTCCACTAGGTAGACCCTCCGTGTCCACCAACCCGGTTAAAGCGCCGGACATTTGTTTTTCGTCCTCTCAATTTCGTAAACAACACCCCCGCCACGAGAAGGCAGTGAGTAGGACTTCCCTGTCAGAGGCTATATACGCGTGGCCATGTCAGAGCATTTTGAGAGGAAGAGCGTACTCTCACCACTCTCGACCGTACCAGGGCATGGTTCTATACATCCCTATTAAAGATCAAATAACCGCACTAACTCAATAACTCTATTCCTAATGCTGTGATTTTCTGTCTATGAATACTACATCTTATTAATATTTAGGAAATCGACTATTGAAATGTGATAATAACTTATATATTGTATATTGTATACAGAAAGATTTAAGTGTCATTTACAAAGTAATTATTAGCTTTTAGTCTAATAAATAAACAATGATTGTGTTAGATGAAGTAACACTTAATTTATTCTCTAATGAACTCTATCAACATAACATGATAGTTTTGAACTGTAATTGTTTAAAGCAATCTAATCCAAATGATGGAACAAATTGACAAGTAAAATAATTGTACCATCTTTAATTTAATATCGAAACTGATACACTTAGAATTAAATCACATAAATGATAACAGATATAAATATGTTTTGTGTAACTTACCGGATTCACATAATAACAAAGGTAATAATACACCTAAACAAATGGTAATATGAAGAAAAGGAATGAAATAACGTCGATGAATTCTTACATATTGATATAATTGATAGCACATTATCGTCTATGTATGAAACAAATCATCATGTTACTAATTAATTGAAATATCTGAAAACACAAAACAACAAACAGAAATAATGACAGATCATATGGACTAATACATTTTTTATGGAATTATTTCTTAATACAGTGGAAACAAATCAAGACCATAGTGCAATAATTATGATAATGAAAAGGAATTTTGACTATGTGCTTGTTTTTAAACACAGTCACCAATGAAAACAACAATTCTGTGAACGTATAGTTTGAAGTTATTTCCATTGTGCGTATTTAAAACATTCTTAATTTAACAAAAATAGGCTACATTATCAACTCAATAAAGGGATGAATTTTAAACACATACTGCCATTTTGTATAAGGATTTATACTATTGGAAATCGATGTGAATTTAGAACTTAACATGCCTAAAGATGTCAAATACTACACGCTAATAAGACCGAAGATAATAAAAGGATATTTTGACTGTTAAATAAAAAATATACTGAGAAATTATGTTGGATCGAGAATTTAGAACTTGACTGACCTGACCAACTTCTCTGTCCAAGTACTTCAACTTCAATGACCGAAAGATTCGACAATAGAAAACTTCTACACTATCGTAAAGTGAACTTGCATATTAACTACTTGAATAAAAAAACCCAGCTTAATTCGTTGGATAACTTTACGAATGCTTTATCTTCCATTTTTTAAACAAAGTAACCTCATGACTTTAAAATTTAAGCACAAAATAAACGCAGCTCTCTTTTTCAGGTTCACCAGTGGTAGAATTTTTCAAATCTCTACAGTAGGTAGTGGATTATTCCTGTTGCAAATACTAGATGTCTACAAATCAACAAAACGTATTTGTAACCTTGAGAAAGCTGATACGTACTTCAGAGACTCGAATATCCATCATATAATGCTACAATCCAACAATTCAAGATTGAGCTCTACAATCTACAATTAAAAGCTTATAGAAATGAAATGTTAACGCTAACCAATCACCGAATAGTGACCAATGTTATTTTGTCTAGTCCTTAGTGGTGACCAATATCTATCGGTAGTATACAACCAAAAGCACAACAATTTGACACTTTATGCAATAACCTGGAAATAATGCGAATTCTGTAATTTATTGAAAACAGCTAAATCTGTAAAGAAATACGTTAAAACTGTAGAATCAATCATCAGGTCTTTAATTAATCTAATTAGTAAATTACCAACTAAACTGGTGTTCAAGCTATTTATACAGTTAATTGGAAATACTTACACTTTTGCGAACGTTTTGTCGCAACATATCACGATCTAGTAAGTAGGCTTCTAAGCGTTAAAAATTTGCTAATAAACTCACTACCAAACCGATATACCGGGTGACTCTTATTCTTTGGAGTAAGATAAATAAGAGATAAAAATGACTGTTGTAGCCGCATCAAATCAATACTACAACACTAATCATAAGCAGTTTTAAACTGAATTTGTAGTAATCACATCCTGCTGCCAGGTCATTAACTTTTAAATTCATAATGCAAATAATATAAATTCAATCCTGCAAGAGCTGAGCAGTCTGATAAGCTTAAACTAAAATAGATAGGTCGATCTAATCATTTTCTTGAATGAAAAATACTTATGTATCACAATTGATAGATACTCAATTTTAAGTTGTTCGACATTCAGAAGTCTTGATTAATTAGGGATCCAGCATCGTCAAAAACTCAGGCCATTTGAATTGAAAAAAAGAAATTTTCAACATAACCTCTGTTACCTATTTATTTAATATTAACAAAACAATAAAGCTAGGGGATGAACAAATTATGCCATAGTTAGCAAACGAATGTGTAACCCTTTGAAAATAAGATTGATCAAACTTGTAAGATGATACAGCTAACCAATACTTCTTCGTTAATTTATTTAACCAGAGATATCGCTTGATGTTTATTTAACGGGTATACGTTGTATGCGATCAGATTCAATTATACATACTTCTCACGGTAAATTAAACCTTACAATGGCATCCCGACTTACTAACAACCAACCGATCAAAAAAATATAAACAGCGACTTTGTAGGTCAATCAAATTTTTTCAAACCAATTGGTTGCAAACAAAACTGCTATATCGACAGTAACCGGTAACTTAAGATTGTGAACATGAATGAAATCTTCAGTTATTTAATGTAGGTAAACACTAAAGCAAAAGGCTAAGATACCAATTTTGATAGAAATTACCATCATTGATTTATGAGATAAGATTGTACTGATCTTACAATCCTAATAGATGACAAAACAGCGAAAAATTAATACACACTAAAACCTGGACATAATATAAAATACATTTTACAATACCAGATGAGACAGTGTTTACGAAAGTATAGGTAAAAATTTCATCTTATACCAACAGATAAACGAACTATGGAAAAAAAGTTTGATGTGTAAGATGAGCTCGACAATTTGAATATGTTAATCCTTAAAATGAACTACAAACACAACAATCAGCTCTGAATCACAACGTTGAAGTGGTATTTGAAAATTGCAGAGGTAATTAGTGAGTATTTGGGCATCATGTTTGAAACACATGATAAACTGACCAACAATTTACCTTAAATTTAACGTTTTTAATTACAGTGTCTAAAATGAGAAGTTTTTGCAAAACTGCAAGATTCCCTTTATATCGCATCTCAAGACTTCTTACGTTAAATACAGGTTACAGATAATTAGATGAGAAAAATCTAACACTTTATTTACATGTATCTTGTAATAAATCTTGTCTTCTTTTAATAAGAAAATAATTTCAAACTTTTTCTCTTGCAATCAAATTTAAAAAATAGCATTCACTTCACGTTAACATGAAGATATAGTGACAGATGAGTGTTCATAATTGTTACTGTAGCACAGCCAGATTAGGAATTACACCATATGATGAATATTGTACATCAGCGTAGAATATCCGTTAGTCGTAACTATTATGTGGGTTAGGTCAAAAATATAGATGTTATAACAGGTTGAATAATTGACTACAGAATATACGCCACGAAAGTGGTTAATATATGGGCTGTGCGATGAATGGTGATTTAGGTGGACATTAAATAAACTAGGAAGGCAACCAACGATAAATCAGTTACGTTACATAAAAAAGAACTCCAGAAAAACTTGAAAGTAAATCATCAACAAAATCCATATCAAATCCAATACACACATTATCATCTGGCAATCATTCCAAAACAGCGAATATTAACCTTGGACAGACGAACACAATGCAACAGATAAATTTAAAAAAGGAAACTACGAATGAAGTATTTTTATCTCTTTTTCCCTTTGGATCTCCATCTATTATCTTGCGCAACACATTGAAAAGTGAAACGATTATCCATCCTCAAAAAAATGACACGTAACAACCACTCAATAGTCTACGGAGCGTACATACGTACACATTCATAAACAAACAATTCAAATATAATATAATTCATATTGAAAATAAGAAGCCAATGGATTAGTTATTATCAGTTTATCACTCGAAAATAATGTAAATAAACAACTTTAAAAGTGACAGTAACAATAATATTAACAATTAAACAGAAAAATCGTTTACTCTTTTTTGTTAGTCGAGCAAACACAAAGAATTTCATTTTGTACAAGAAAATGACTCATTATGTAGTTTAGAATGTGTAAGTCTCTGTGTATGTGCGTACTTACAGAAGACTTTCAGTTGAGAAATTCACCAGGTGGAGAATGCCAATATGAATCAAGGTATACAGAATAATTACCCTTGTAACCGTGCTAAGTCAATCCCAAAACAAATAGGAAAAGGACATAAACAAGAGAAGAATGACTCCATTTTTTATCTACGTACACGTACACATAGTTATGCTAAAAAAAATATGGAATATACTCGTTTATATGTATATATTATTTGAAGAAAAAATCACCAGTGTAGTTTTTTACACACTGACTTGATAATAAATCCACCTTTTATAACACACTGCATTTTCGTCAATGTGTGCAATTTCTTTTTTTGAAAAGAGGAGAGGGGGTAAAAAAAATTTACAAAATAAAAATTATTAACAATTAGGAAACCAGTTCAGCTCACGGCACAGATTGAACAAAATAAACTTGTGAGCATTTTGATGTATTCGTATGTATGTAACATATGAGAAGAGAAGGAGAAAAATAATTTTGGAGAAGTTCCTCTGTTCAACTCTTCGTCAAATACACAGATAATTGAATAATGATTAGAAATAAATACAGAAATGATAAGTTGGATTTTTTGACATGTCAAAATAAACGAAGTCACACATTTTATTAGATATAGAGTAAATTATTGGAAAATGGATGATAGTTTTGTTTATATTTTTAGAATAAAATAATATTAATGATAATATGGTTTGGTTGACGATCACATTTCCTTCGGCAATGGTGGAGGTATGAAATCTTTTGACTGGTATGATTGTGTAACGAAATAATACGCTAATAGGATAGCTATAATCAAAACAATTATGCTGGTAACCAGTATGATAGGATTGTACAGTGTGACTGAAAAAAATTACAGAAATACGAAACTCGTAACTGGTTGTGATGATAACAAAGGCAAAAGAATAATATGTTTATCAGTGCATCATAAAACATTTCATATATATAATATATATATAGTAGTCATGTTAGATCTATCATATTAGCCTGCCAGCTGGATAAATTATTCCAGTGAATGAATGCGCTCTAATCAGATATTTAATGTTCAATAGATGATAAAACAGCACTACAATTGAAAGTATCTACTGTTAGATAAGTTCCTTTATCTATGAGTGGCATTTCATGCAAAGCAGGGTTTATTAGTTAAAGTCCTTGATTTTAACAACTGACAGATTGAAAGTTTCAATCATAAGCGGACGACTTCAATTTACATAACAGGATAGTATTTCATTAGTCCTCTAACATAGTGTCAAATAGCATACAATAAATCTGACATAAATAGACAAATACTTTCCTTTGGTGAAACATAGAATTTTACGCATAGTGACGAAATTGACTTACATGAACTAGAGACAGGAACAGATTCAACCACTTCATCTATCATTTCAGATTCAGAAAATTCATCATCAGCACTAACTGTGTATGTGTAGATGAAAGAAACAAAGAGAGTAACAGAAACTGTATAACAATTAAACAAGGTAAAAAGAGTTTTAATACTTATGAGAAGCTATAAAAAGAATTTTATCCATGCTTGTAAAAGTACCACGTAACATAAAAAAAGGATAAAGCTGACAACATGCATCATCTACTTCGTTATTGATAATTGGTTTGTCTTTTAAGCAGTTCAGTGATGAAACCGTAAAAACAAATAATGCGATAAATTATACGACAGACGACTTTATTTACTAGAAGACTGTGTTTGTGTAAGCATAATTTAATAGTGACAATTATGTTGCCGTTCAGATACTTAGCATGATGTCATTTTAACCTGTACGTGCATAGTTTATAATTGACTTTTCTTTAATCTCATTAACGTGATACTGTTTAGGAGTCCAAACACAAGATGATTAACATGAGAGGTCAGAAGTGGGATAAGGGAAATTTAGACAATCTTGCTATTCCCTCACTAGTTTTGTTATCGATGACATTCTGAGAACAACTTTGAATGAGATACGTAGTGGTGGTGAGGATGTTTATTGAAAAAATGAGTAGACGTATGACATCGGTTTATTGTAAGATTATAAGCGACCTATCAGTTGGAAATCAGTGTCCAATAGTATGCCATGATATTCTTACCTTATAAATCCAAAGTATTTCCATAAGACGAGCAGAAGCTTGTACCCGAAACTATTTTGTAACGATAGGCTAGAAGTAATGGAAACGTTCGTACATCTAAGTAGCTGTGTGAGTGTTAGTGATAGTTTGACATAAAATTAAACTACGCACAGTAAAATTCAGAAAAGACCATGGAAGTCTGGACCATCTTTTGCACCGCCACGATATTAATCTGGACGTAAAAGGTTGGGACAACGGTGCACTAACAACAGTAACTTTGACCAATGAATGTATAACCAGCCCCCTCTCACCTGAGGACATCCGAGGGCTCTGTTTTCGAATATCGTTGTCACTGAATGATAGCTAACAGCCGGTGACATAATTATGTTAGTAATCATAAAGTCCAGATATGTGTTTGGGATTAGTGACAATAAGTTGATCAGTATTACAATCATTAAATACTGACTTTGATTCCTTAATTATGTTCCGTATGCCAGCGGCTCCGAAATCGCATATCAATTGCTGACGCTGCAACCAGGTTAAAAAAGTAGGGGTAGTTAATTTATGTTATGACGCCGTGGTATGGAAAAAGCTGCTGAGAACTGATAGTTGCTGTCCGTCACATCTCCCCAGTTAGGGTCGTAGAGACGGTACACCTTGGTATCTTGAGACGTTACTAAATATAGTTCAGTAAACATCCCAGTGGTGATCTTTCTGTAGTTTTCTTTAACATTCTTCATAAGAGAGATAATCTTCATCTTAATGGCATTTTTCACCGAACTGTATATCATATTAAACGTTATGATTGTTGTCATCCACCAATTAATTTTTATTTTATTTTTTTATAGTAATTTGCCTCCCTTATTTAGTTCTTCACGACATTATTACTTTATTTCCATGGAGCATGTATTCTCGGTGTCCGACTGTAATGGAATTCACGTGTATTAAATAGTAAGTCTCAAGCTATTGATCGAAAGGCTTATTCGATAGATGAGTCTTCACCGCAACCTGTGAACAAAGTAGGTTAATGTTCCGTTGATTGCTTGAAACTCTTGGATACCATGAGAATCATGGATGCGGTATACGGTATCTTCAAAAGGGATACTCTGCAATTAGTGTCTTTTTAAACATAATGAGATTACTATCAAAATCCTAGCTCTTGGAAACAACCCTGTCATCTAAAAGCAACATACAGGGATGCTCCAGAAGAGGCCGCAAAAAGGCGACTGCATAAAAACCTCTCTCTAGATTGATATGAGTTTCCTGTTTTCTGTTGTATCGACATTTGGATGACGATAAAATTAGTGCTACCATCTTGAAACAATGCCTTGACAAACTAAATATATTTAGGGATGTTGTAGCGCTACCAAACATGTATACTGTAAACTATAGTTTGCTTAGCTTAATATAAACTTGCATAAGGTTTTACACTAATCGCAACTACAGAATTGTACACATTTTTGTGAGCATAATTGCTACTACACACTATTCAAGAAAGTGTTTATTCTTCTGTTGTTGATATTCAGAACAAAATCTAATTCATCTTTGAACATCAACAAGGAGAAAACGAACTTTTATCAGTAATAAATATCGCACTCGATATACGAGTTGGGAGTAATTTGGACTCTATTGCTTAGCAAATAATATGTTGTCTCAACATGAACATCAACACTGAGATCTAGATGCAATCGGATGAGGAGCCCCTAATAAAGGGAAACGTGTGTCTTGAATTCACCGGCCACAAACCAAAAATATAATAGTCACTACCATGATATTATCTGAATATACATTGCTAACTTACGTTCAGGACTTTTTTCCAAAGTAGTATCCAGGCAGGATGCATCTATATGATGTGAGGAAAATACTTCGATTTCAGAAACAGAATTCTTTAGACCAGTGGTATTAGAAGTAATCCTCTCCTCTGTGGGAATAGTGAGAGTAGTTCCAAGAGGTAAACAGAAGTAAACTAAACGATTTACAACATCTTCAGCAGTTTCTGACAAAAATTTATAATCGGACAATGGTAGTGTAGGACAAGCAGGAAGTCGAACTAATACCCGTTGAGGTAGTAACATGCGAGGAACTTTAGAAAAAGGAGTAGAAATAGACACCTATGGATGTAAATATCTATTAAGAAATATATAATTAAAAGACAAATTATCGAAACATTTATAAGTAAACAGAGATCCGAACCCGAGCAGTAAGTCCAAAGAGAAATAAACAAGTAATACATCGTATATGGATTTTGATAGACAAAATCTGATAAATTAACATGAACTTTATGAAAATCTGGTCTAATAGAGTTTATAAAAATAACACAAGGGGGGTTTGGTGGAGATTTTAGTAACTTTATATAGTTAAGATCATGAGTCAATTGAAGCTAGACCACTGTGGAAAACCTGGAAGCACTGGACCGTTGTTTCGTCCTATTGTGGAATCTTGGATGTGCACTGCTGAGGAGTCCCGTACTAGGACGAAACGGCCGTCCAGTGCTTCCAGGTTTTCCACAGTAGTCTAGCTTTAATTGATTCATGATCTTAACTATATAAAATTATAGAAATAAATTATAAGGTTAAAAACTGATATATTCAGCTGGGCGAAAGTCAAAGCACATGTTCATATTTATATACATTGATTTAGATCAAGTATTTGTCCCACTATTAAGCTTTCCAACAACTTGATCTCCTTTCCAGTTTACTTATATTGACTATGTATTGAAAGTTACCTAAAAGAGTAGATTAAATCAAGTTCTAGTGGCACTAAAAACCAATATGAACAGATATATTGTTAGAGACAGGTCTTAAATCATATTAGTTAGATGTTGAATTTTTATTATTCTATAATTTAATAATCTCGAGCAAAAGTTGATATGCTGAAAGGTAAGAAAAAACATACTAGTAGGGCGTTTTAGTTTATGACAAAGATAACTTTTAGTTTTCGTCATCTAAACATTTTGACAATAGTAACTATGGGGTTATGGGGAAACTAGCGTTTCATATATACTTTATCTAGAACTACGATCGGAAAGTGAACTTTCTATCATATTCATGGTGAATTAGTTCGGCCAAATCAAACTGTTTACAACAGTGGAACAAACGAGTTTATGTGAAACCACTCTTATTATTTTGAAACTTAATTTAGCTGAGTTACAAAATATTAGCTACGTGATGAAAAAGTCATATTCGTACATGTTATACAGGGATTTCTGTACTTGTAATGTTATTCAACTCCTTCAATACTTACTTACTTACTTACTTACGCCTGTTACTCCCAATGGAGCATAGGCCACCGACCAGCTTTCTCCAACCCACTCTGTCCTGGGCTTCCTTTTCTAGTTCTATCCAGTTCTTGTCCATTCTTCTCATGTCTGTTTCTATTTCTCGGCGTAATGTGTTCTTTGGTCTTCCTCTTCTCCTTCGACCTTCAGGATTCCATGTGAGGGCTTGTCTTGTGACGCAATTAGCTGATTTCCTCAAGGTGTGCCCAATCCACTTCCAGCGCTTCTTCCTGATTTCTTCCTCTGCTGGAATCTGGTTTGTTCTCTCCCACAGTAACTTATTGCTGATAGTGTCTGGCCATCGGATCCGAAGTATTTTGCGTAGACAGCTGTTGATGAACACTTGTATCTTCTGGATAATGGCTTTCGCAGTTCTCCACGTCTCCGCCCCATACAGTAGAACTGTCTTGACATTTGTATTGAAAATTCTAACCTTGGTGTTGGTTGACAATTGTTTTGAGCTCCAGATGCTTTTCAGTTGTAGGTATGCTGCTCTTTCTTTGCCGATCCGCGCCCTCACATCTGCATAACTCCTTCAATACACGTCACGTTAAATAAAGCTGGTGGTTATTTGACGTCTGAAAATATAACTAACCACTTACTGAACGTTAATTATTCTTGATCTACAAGATATCTAACCACAGGTTAGAATTACCCTACAAACTTCAGTATTGCCTCAAAGGGTGATAAGTGTATGAGACTATACAGATATATAAAGCGATTGAATGTATTTTTTTAGTGAATGAAAAACAAAATAAGACAGCTTTATTTTCCTTCCAGGTTAACAGAATTCTCATGATGAACAGTAATATTTAACAAAATTAGTTACTTGGAGCGAAGAATAAGATAAATGAATATATATGTGAATTTATTTTCGATTAAACACTGAAAAATAGATACTTACGATCAGATAATAGCTTACCTTCCAGTTCAGCACTGGTAATGTGTAGCTCTTCTGTTAAGAGTTGTAATCGTGCTAATACACTCCGTACAAGATCATTCCGTAATGCCTAAAAATTATCAACAACAACAAACGTAGATTAAATAATTGTAAACAAACATCACTGAAGTTTTATGTACTAGTAATACTATTTGCATAGCGTTAAGAATGAAAAACTTTACAAGTTATAAAATATTACAGAAAGTTGATACAAAAATATACTCCCCAGTTTATCCATCAAGTAATAATTGCCAGTGTTTAACAACTAACCTTAATTATTATTCCAAAAATTTGGATTAGAACGATAAAATACTGCAAACACTATAGCAGTAAAATGAATCAACATAATAGCCCAATTTAGTTACATATTTTAATACTTCCCCTAGATTTAAGCAGTTAAACAAAGTATCTCAGGTTTTTGAAATTTTAATTCAATCTTTACTTCACCTTAATAATCAAGTACAAAATCGCGTAATCAGCTCTGAATAATGTTTTATATGAGAAAGTTAATGATGCAACCCGAATGCCAAGCCGAAATAAGTGGAGTAGGGTTTTAACCTGGTTGGGATCTACTTGTCAAAAGCTTTAACCACTTAGCTACTATTTTGATATCTGTATACATATTTCGATGCTACGGGACAAGACATAAACCATTAGACGTAGCTTTCATATTGATAAAACCTTCAGTCTCCCGTGAACTGATGCTTATTATTGAACCACTTAGGTCATTTCTAACACAATGGTGTAAATAAAAATCCTCAGGAAATATGATATACTTTGTCTTAACTCACTAACGTTTACACTATGCAAAAGTTATCCGTATTAACTGACTTAACTTGCATTATGCTACACTGCGAAATCCATTTCAATATCCTAAGTTTTAAAGAGTAACCCACTGTATTTTTTCTTTTACTTTCTACAAAGAACTTACGTTTCCTAGAATTTAAATGAACTACAAAATATGTAATAAACCCGTTAGCTATTTTTAACGAATTTTCGTTACTTGTCTAATATAGATTCCGCTATCTAATAGTATTCACTTGCGATTGGTTCAAGGTGCTATATCATTTGTATAATTTAATATCAGGTAAAATATTTTAGAACATAGAACAGAAAACATGAAATGCACTCTTAAATCTTCACTGAAGTTCTAAATAAAAAGTTTTTGTTACCGTTCACTTTCTTGCAAAAACAGAACGAGTTTAAAGTGTAAGCAAGATGGCATTCAAAAGAAATTAAATTTACAACAGGATTCAAATCACTAACTTTTGAGTGAGTCTCTGATGGTCAACGAGGTCGCTATGCTGCTTTAGTCACTGAATACCGAGCTAATTGACCAAACACTATTATTACCACTCTATTAGCAATCCATGATATTTTCCTAATTGAATCTCCCACCCATCTATAAGTGGATCGACCTACTAACTAAGGTTACCCTAAATAATTTCATCATTAACCAAACAATCAGATTTAGACAAATTTGAATTAGAGCGAGATTTGGATTGGTACCTTTTGAAACTAAATGAGGTTAGCTGAGTGCTCTTCTATCAAATGATAGTTGGACACAACATTCAGTAATTAAGGCGAAAATCTAAAACTAGGTTAACGTTGTGTTTTATTATGCCAATCAGTAAAACGCCCAGACGTTTATTCAGAGCCTGTCGGTTCTAATGTTTTTGTAAACCGAATTTTCTATCAACCTTAGTTATTACCATAGTATAATGTAACCTTTTTAAATACATAGCCGTGAAGTATATATTTTACAATAAAGGTTTAGTATTTAAAAAATGAATTAAGGAATATTAAGAATATATACAAAAGAGATTAACTAACCTCGAGTAAGTCACCAACACTTGAATTAGCTGGTAAAAAAGCTATTCCAGGAATTCGACCATTGATTAACAAGCGATTAATGGGGACGAAACTACCTGAAGAATCATTAGTGTCATTTCCATTATTCATATTTGTGTCCGAACTAGCACCGGATTCAAGTGACGATGACGAACTTGCACGCTGCCATTGAGGAAACTGCACAGTAGAATTGAAATGAACCCCAAAAGTCATAGATTAATGTACCAATAAAAGGAAACACAATTCAATACTGGTCAGTAATTTCCTATAATGCATATCAAAATGCTCTATTAAGATGACGTAAAAAGTGAATTTAATTGAAACCCTTAGAACCGATTTGAGAAACCCGATACACCGTCGTATTAGTCATAAGAGTATTTGAGCGTAATTAGAAGCCCTTCTACCTATAACAGATCATTTGAGTGAAACAGTTTAAAACTAGTCCAAATGGAGCAGACACATTCATTTTGCCTTCAAATAGATCCTGAGTTTTAAAGTTATCTTAGAATTTATTTCATGAATTCATTGTTTTTTCACAAATAATATCGTTTACGCCTAATTTTTTTTACTACCGATACTGCTATTATTTATACTGCTCTGGGATTTGTCTTGATAATTTCACCTGTGTCAATATTTTATTACAGCTAGGATCAATACATATTTATTTATTTAAACACATAAACATTAGTACAAGGAGGCACCAAATATACGTGCGCCACACAAATTATTTGATTTGTATGAGGGTTGGAATATTGTCCACGTGCCCAAACCAGAACAGGTGGTTTTCTTAGGGGGCCACTCTACGAGCCTTTGACCTAAAGGTCTGATCCACAAGGTAGTGGAGCGACGTTAAGAGATATAGTCCCATGGTAGCTAGTGACCGACAAAAGATTCATACGCCTTTTGTTCCCTCAGGATACCGGAGCCAGCCCATGTGCACCATTGGTTTGGAATCAGGACTTTCCGACTTCCCTAGATGGACCCTTCACGTCCATCAACCAGGTTAAAGCGCCGGACATTCGCTCTTCGTCCTCTCAACTTCGTAAACACCTCTGACACGAGAAGGCAGTGAGTAGGACTTCCCTGGCAGTGGCTGTATACGCGTGGCCAAGTGAGAGCGTTTCGAGAGGGAGTGAGGACTCTTCCCACCCTTGGCCGTACAAGGGCATTTGGGGACATCCATACATATACGTGCATATGGCTGATAACTAATTAATATTACATCCAAATTGCCTTAAAAAACTTACTAAGTTACTAAGCATAATAGCTTAGTCTCGACCCCCACTGAATGTGAAGTCAAGTCCAAACTTAATAATAAACAATAAATGCTAAAGTAATGTCAACCAATGCTGAGGATCATTGTTGAATAAACGACGGAATTCTAACCACACCAAGACTCGGAGACGGTATTTTGGAGTTTGAGTGACAAAAAATAATAAATATGAAAGGTTTATGGAAATTACTTTTAGAGTCGATGATAATTCAGCGCAATCACATCTAATATGTGAAAGTAAACGGTACTTCTTACCTGTTGAAAACTGAAAAGTGGAACGGGTTTATTAAATACGAATCTACTGCAGTAATTTAAATCACTTTATCACTCAACCACAATTATAAAGTCGTGCAAATCTCCAATAGGTCAAACAAAACAGAATCGGAGACGAAGGTAACGACTTTTACACTGAAAAGTTAGAACATTTGAACGACATCGAGAAACAATTGAAATAGGTTACAGGTGCCTGAATTTACGTTGAATACGGATATTTACGATACCTTTCAAATTTCTACATGAGTAACGGTGGAAGGAAGTATGGGTGGTGAGTATTTGCAGCAACATTAGTATATAGAGAAATTACTTAATGACCAACTATGAAGTAGATTAAACGGTTTTTTTTGGAAGTTCATTGCATTGGCTTGCGTGATTAGGTAAATACATATAATGTGGTTTCTAGTGTATTGTATACACCTATTACAACTTGCTTAAATTCATGTCGTTCAATACATAAGCTTGATGATAAAAATCCTAGAAATCAGAAAAATGTGCTAACGACATAACTAACAAGTAATCAATCTAAACATTCTATATAGTGACTTAAAGTCGGTTTCGGAATAGATGAATTTACCTATTAATGCTCAAGATGTGAGCAATCTGCTAACATGCTACCATGTTTCATTTACATTCAGCTTGATACTTTTCTGCTGATTAATTTGACCAATCAAAAAATATAGGACGTATATCAAGCAATTATAAATAATGAATTATTCATGATAAAAGAACAAGCTAAACTACTAAGCCATTTCCCGAAAACGATAAAACAGAATAAAGAAAACTAACTTAAATCTTTGGCATCCATTCTGGAACCATGTTTCAAGTTTATTTCTTATGCCATAGTTACGAACTTATATAGGTACATAGATTAGTCAACCACATCAGCCACAAAACCGGACTAAAGAAACTTATTTAAATCCAATAGCGAGATGATTACACTTCATACTTGTTGTATGCTAAAATCTAATCTTACTGTAGTGAGGGACTTAATGGTTCGTCTTAATATTTCAGAACGACAACACCTATGTAACAAAATTAGATAGAAATAACAGTATACGTACATGGAGAACAGTGCTCGCTTTCGCTACCATGATATCGGTATAACAAAACTTTACTCCCTTATTATCTTTGTACGGTAATTCCTCCAAATCAAGGTAATGTCATGTAATTAATGAGTCATAAGACGCTTTAAGGTCATGCAGAGTCGCTAGTACGGAGTAACATTCTCGGTATTTTGGACAAATAAACACACTAAAACGTTTTGACCAACACCTACTGCAAGTCGTTTACGAAGTGCAGATGCGAGTACTTTACATATGAGAACTAGTGAAACTATCTGGTTGCCCAAACTTAAATAATTGGGATGGGGTTTGAACCCATCACCTAATGATTGAAAGTTGAGTGTATTACTCACTAGGTCATAGCTTCATTGATCAATATCACTCAAAGTATTTATTTTAGATAATTCCTTGTAAGCGTTCTTCAATTTACGGACTTCCCTCACTAACGAAAGCCCTCACAATCGATCCCGCCTTCAGAGTAAAGAATATGTATGAAACCTGGTCCAAATAACCATGTTCGTATGACAAGACCGGGTGACAAGTAAGAGTCTAATTAATTTACAACTTCGTTTCTCTAACATGTCCCATATAACAGTCCATAATAATAGGGGCCTAGTGTTTAACCTTAACAAACCAAAATGTCGCAGCTGAAGATTCATTGTATTTATGTTGTTTTAGCTGCATGGTGACTCATCCTTTACTATTAGCTGATTCATAATACTCTAGTATGTGGTGAAAAACTTCTGAACACAGATTACTACTGTCAGATATATGAAGTGGATTGAAAGTCACTAACCTGTGGTCCGAAAATTACTATATCAAGTGGGGTAAAAGCTGGACTAACGGACCCCTTGGCAACTGCATATTTCTTACTCCCCGCCGAAGTAACCAAAGAGTGATCTACATCAAGAGGTAAATCATAACGCTTTGACTTAGACGATTTTTTGTTCTTTTTGCTTTGGATGTCACCATCGAGGGGTACAGAAAAATCCATATCCTTTAGTAATTTTTCATCAGCTTGACGCAGTTCGCCATTGATCAGTAACTGTGTTTCGGTAACCAAGGATTGCAGGTAAGGTTCGACGGCAGCCTGAAAATTTAACGGAAATTTTTACCACTTAAGAGCGATGATGATATGATAGGTTACTTTGATTGTACTTGTTTTATATACATTATACATTTAAAAAGTATGAAAGTACTAGTAATACTAGTAATTCTACACTTTCTGAATGGATTAACGAGCAGTTTTATTCACATAAATTTGTCCGTAAAAATAGACAAATAAGTATATTTCGCACTTTTGAATTTCGTTTGAACTTACCGTAAACGGCTTACATTTACAGCATAAATTATGCAGTCTATCTACCATACATTCACACTTTGCTGAGGTGCATATTCACTACAAAAAATATAGTAGAGGGATTTCGCTTCCCTAACCTAGTTATAGATGATATCAAAATAGAAACTGGTACAAATATACGTCAGTTTGACTTTTCAATGTTATAAACGTAACAAAAGAATAAGTGAAGGACCAAAAACAATGGCAACTGCAGTAGTCGAAAACTAAAAGGAATATACGCAAAATTAATTTGATGCTAGGAGTAGTATTAAGTTCTTGACTCGCGAGAAAATAAAACACCAGTCTACTTACACAGCTGAAGTTGTTATCACGCTACATTAACCTGTCTCCAACCATTCAATACGATCAGCATCTATGAAACACTCAATAAATCAGAGTAAGAGACTGATTACTGAGAATTCAACCGGTGTTGATCGGATATCCATAAAATGAGAAGTGGGGAGCAAAAAAAACTATTATGTGTTTACTGCAGACAGTAAGCTTTGTATGAATGAACGGATACAATACTTACCATGAAAATGAACTTGTTCGATACACTTCAATAGCAATGCATGATATTAAACCGCTTTTAGATGAAAGAATACAATGACGGTTGTAGACGGGTAAATAAGACATTAATCTATAATTCGGTGATAAGGGTATTATCAAGAAAATAACGGTTAGAACTTGAGTCGGAGTGGTCTTCCTAGGTTCAATAACTACGGAAGATAAGATCTCCAAATATTGCTCGCATCTGCTGGGATCACCGGGTAAGTGATAGTGAGGTTAGACGCAGGGTATTGGGGAATGATGGTAAAGCAGTTGATAAGGTTGTGAATCTTCATAGACTGAGATGGTTGGGCCACGTGCTGACTAGTGTTAGAGATGGTTGGAAAAAAATGATGGGTAGTCAAACCAAAACGTGGCATCAGTCCTTGAAGTCACTAACTTCTAGTCTGAGCCATGTTGGTAGATGCAGACTACTTGGTTGAGGTCCTCGTGACTATCGTAACCAATGGTTGGAGACTCTGGGTGACATGGCTCACAATCCATTACAATGGCCCAGGTGTATGCACTCTGTCTTCCCTTAAACCACAAGATTAAAATTGCTTTATATCTTTCTACCAATTAATTCTTTCTTCTTGAACTAAATCCTTATACACAATCTTTTATATACTACCATTGAAGTAACTACAAAGGATTTGGTGTTCATCTTGTTGTGCTAATGAGGTGTGGCAACTTGGACCGATGCATATATGTGCCTGGTCCTACGTTGTAGCCGACTGACTGACACCAACCAATTCGGTTCCTCTATTTTCATCAGATATTTTTTCATAAGCCGGGACGATTTACAATCCAAACTAGTTACGCTCAAGTCGAATCCCAAAATTCTAGTTTATTCGAAAGGTCAGCTAACAGTCTGCCAGCTATAAATGCAAAACTTAGCACACATGACTCACGGCGGTAGGTAATTACTACTAAACACCTCGGAGCTAATTTATCGCAACCTTACTGATTTTTATTTGAAATTAAAACCTCAACAATGATTGGAAGCTTGGTAACGACCTTCATTTCTGGCCGTCGGCGAAGACTAGTCGAAGATAGAATATAGACTAGTTGAACTGCTTCTTAACATGCTCTATACACCACGCTAGACGCAGTGGCAGTGGCTTAATACAAGTCATGGAAAATATTGATGTCTACCTGTCAAGCCGACCCACGGTCGCCGATACTTTTAAACCACTATTTGATGAAAAAATTCAGTTTCTCCTTGGTTTGTGATTTTAAAAGATTTGCTATAGATGAAGTTACACATTGCGTCATATTTTTCAAAACTAGTCACTTGTCTTACCGTTTATGGAGTGAACTTGTAGACTACACAATTACATATATAGTCACCATATGAAATAATGCTGTGGTGACAAAACAAACCACTTCTAAGTTTATCGGATATACACATACTTAAAAGTTAAATATATGAAGGAGTGAATGAGGGTACAACAGCAGTAAGTCTTAAGCACAGGTCCAGCCACGCGCTTGAGCATACCTAGGTTAAAAATAATAGTGAATACCTGAAGCTGATACAAGATTTTCTCTTTTTTTCGATCAGATGGTAAGTGGGTCTCCAAAGAAAGTAGTATATGAGTTTTGAATGATACCCATCGATCAATGACTGGACGAATCTTTACTTCCACTGTTCGAAATTGATTCTGTCAAATAGAATAATATCATGCAAAACATACATTAGATCCATCTGCAGCAGAAGCTTTGCATTGAAATCTTAAGAAAAAATATAAATTGCAAAAGAACATACCTTTTTGTTTTGGGGTCAGCTACCAATACCAATTTCTCTGTATTTTTTGAACAAATAAACTTGTTTATGAGCGTATCATCCCGCGATATATGAGAAAGGATCTGACAGTTAGTCAAAAGCTGATTACTTTCTGAATGTGATTAGTATGACTGTTGAATTCGCTATGAGGGACAGTCAAACAAATCCCACTTATATGAACACCTCCTGGAATCATTCGCGCAAGATTTCTACAATGTGACGCAATCCACTTTTCACTTAAATCTTCAATCATACGGGGCGAAACGGATCGATGAGGTGGATCATCTGAAGTGTCATCCTTTGGAATTTCAATAGGTAAGAACAAACACTCCTGGGAACCAAACCGCTACTAAATGAAGGATAAATAAGCCGAACTCACTCCGCCTATTATCACTCCACAACGGAACTCATCTACAGAGATCAAACGATCTGCAAAACTATTGTCAAACAAAACCTCCGCAATCATCCTTGGGGCAACGCTTCAGTGGTATCGTCTGCTGATGGAGGTTACTGTGCACTTCAAGGTCAAACTGTGTCACCAAATTTTAAATGGAGGGCTGTGGTCCAACACCATAAAATAAAGTCAACAAGCTGCAATACTGTCTGTCCACATTCAGTTGTAGTAAATAATTAAAGTATATATTAATAAAATATAGTTTGTATCCGCATAACTATCTTCTCTTCCTGATCATCATGAACCAACGATTTCATTATATAGGTTCAAATGGTTCATATGGTTGTGGACGGAATAGAAGAAGCTTTCGCTTAACAGGCGTCCCTATCTAGTATCAGAGGATCCCCAATACCTCCAGTCGGGAACCTAGGCATATTATCGATAAAAGAGGGAAAGGAAATTGGTAAATCATAGTAAGATACTATCCTTAGTCCTTAGGATTACGTCAAGTCTTCTCTTAAAGGACTCCTGAGAAGTCGCTTGGACTAGTTTAGCCGGCAGCGAATTCCATCATTTGACTACTCTTAAAGAGTAGAAGTTGTGTCTACAGTCCATTTGGCTGAGTTGTGTCTCCAGTTTCTAGGTGTTACCCCTTAGATTTGTGTTGGAGTTAAACTTAAGTAGGTATTTAAGGGGATATCTAGAAGTGTTAAGGGTGCTGTAATCCATTAGAAAGTCACTTTTAAGACGCCTGTACTCTAATGAGTAGAGGTTTAGTAATTGGAGGAGCTTATCATAAGACTTGAATTTGTCCCCAAACTGATTTCGTGGCTCGCCGTCGGATACATTTCAGGGTGTCCTTATCCTTTTGCAGTGTGGAAGGAAAAACTATGTTTCCGTACTGTAAATAGGGACGAATGAAGCTGTTGAAAATGATGTGGAAAGTTTGTCCGTCTTAAATCGACCAAAAATATGCTTCAATGATATCCATGCGATGTTTACTCGAAAGGCATTTTGGTCACAACGTAAAACTTCATATCGTAGGGTACCAGCACTCCTAAATCTTTTTCAACCGGGGATAATTCTAGAGGGGAGTTGCCTTAATTGTAGCTGTAGTCTGCAACATATCTCAGATGGACTACTTAGCACTGTGAAGCGTTAAAAGTAAGTCCGTTGTCATCTGCCCAACTTTAAAGTTGAGTCAGATCCTCCTGAAGTGTCAATATATCCTCTCGGTTGCGTATCTCTCTCCAAAGTTTCACATCATCAGCAAAAAGTAATAAGTCTGACAATATCTGTTCTGAAAGATCATTTATATGAATCAAGAAAAGAAGAAGTTTAAGTAATTATCTCAAAAAGATCCCACTAGGACATTCTGTAGTGTTACCAGGTGTTACCAGGATTGAAGTTGCTTCCTTCAGTATAGCAGAATGAACCATATGCGGACCAGATGAAGTATCTTTTTTAAGTGTTGCAGTTTCCGGTACATTAAGTCAGCTCTCAGGTTCACTTCGAAAAGTCCTGTGGAGTTGCAGATAAAGCTTTCATCAGAGTAGTTAGTGTGGATCGGTTGAAATGTCTGAGAGTACTGTTCAACCTGAATGTCGGTGGCATCACTGTCGTTGTTGGTCGAGTGATTAGGATCTGGCAGTTGAGAAACTTTAGTCCTGGCTTGTCGAAAAGAGAATTCATAACGGTATAAGCTTGTCGGATGAGAGATAAATTTATCGATAAGCTTTACCTGGTACTAGAGCCTGTCTTCTCTTATTGTCTTTGTGCACATGCTCCTTACATGTTTGTATCGCCTGTATGCTCCGTTGCTACCAGTTCGTTTATATTCGCCTAACGGTGCCTTTTGCGGCTTAGCAAACGAAAAGTGCGGTTCATGATGGCTGTAGGTTTCCTTTAGATTTCGGAGACCGATTGAGGAACAGACTATCTTGTAGCACATAAGTTCGTGTGCAGCGAGAAGTTCCAATGAACATCCACATCATGTTGAGGGTGAACTTCCCAATTCACCTGCTACTGATTGTTCTGTAAGGCCGACACATGCAACCGCTTGAAATTCCAGCGTCTGTCGTTGGTGGGATGTCTTAATTCGGTTTTGCTGATAAAATTAAAGGCTATGATGGAGTGATCGCTTTTCCCCAGGGGAGCCAGGATTGGGATGTTAATAATAAGAAATCCTTCGTTTGTAAATATTCAAACTTAGCGCTATGGCGTCTAACTGCTTCTCCAACAATTTGCCGACTTCATATTTTCGAATAATCCCTGATCCTCAATGAGGTTGAAGAACCGAGCTTCAGTAGAGATTTCACCTTCAATGTACGTTTGTTCAGCGAAATTGACTTTAGGAAGATTGAAGTCTCCTAGATCAGGACATGGGTGAATCCGAGACCACTATGGAGATATAATCTTTCCAGCATACGATTGTCATACTCGATGTAAGCAGTGTGCTTCCTGTATATGACTCCAACTAGACACCTCGAGGTGGTAGACAATCTTACTGAGCACCATACGGGTTCATCAAGAACGATAAACTCTTGGTTGTGAAGTTGATGTATCTCCAAGCAAGATCGCAAGTATAGGGCTACTTCACCCCCAATTCCTGTTTTCCTATCATTGCGAAACAAAGAAATCCAGGGTGTTGCAAGCTACTGGTCCGTAAACTGAGAAGACATTCACGTTTCACATATTCCTGTCAGATGAGCATTGTTAGCATTACTGAGTACACGGAGCTCATCCATTTTATTCAGAAAACTCTCGGCGTTCATATATAAGCAGCTTGTGCTTTCAATTTGAAGCGCGTGAGATTCCCTGTCCTGATTATCCTACCTACACGGTTTCCTGAGTTGGTAGCCCCTATCCTTCTCATGATTTTTTATGATCTAGATCCACAAGTTGAATGGTCATCTCTAACTTGCCTTTGTGCGTGATCCTGGTGTCATGTGAACTATCTGGATGTATATGGACTGAAATTGGCAACTGGTACCTGTCAGCACGAAATACTCCCAGAGTTGCAGCCGCTATATGGGAGGATGAGAAGGTTATCTTCACCAACCGGGGTCTAGAATCCCTGTCCTTCTTGTTTAGTCTCACCACTTGTTGAGCCAATATGTTTTTGAGCTTCAATGGCTGCTTGATGAATTTCCATTCCCGAATATCAGAGTCTGTATGGTCAGGGTCCGTGTTTTCCAGTACACCTTTCACAATGATATTTTTTCATCGGGAAAACTTTTCGCGAGACTCCCTAGGGGTGTTCCAGTTCGGAATGCGCCCACAATAAGGTAGGTCAGACAGTATTCCTACGTTTCAATATGATTTCAGTAAATGACTAGCCAGTAACATATCCTCTACGTCTAATGTAAACAGTTACTGTAAGGTCTATGCACGTTTTGTGGAATCAAGCTATGCAATTATCAAACTGCATATCACATGTAACAGCGAAACGGCATCAGGGTCGCGTGCATGAATTCTTCATGACTATAGTGACGTAAATTGTTTCATAGATCCTAGCAAAAGTCTACGACCGTAAGACAAAAATCGGTTAACTAAAAATGGACAAAAATGAGTGAAATCGGGTGGTACAAAAGGTTAGGATAAATTGAGACTAGCCTTGACGTCCAAAAAATGAAAAACAGAATAGTAAGCTGAGGCGAAACCACAGTTAACTATAACGTTTGGTAAAACTTAAAAAGAAAGGTAATCAACTGCACGTAAAGCTCAGAACAGATTCTATAGATCAGAAATGCTACTTTTGTTGCATGAAGACACAGCAAAAGTGTGAGAGATGCAAATCGCGTCAAGACTAAACTTCCTGTAAAGTTACCTAGATAAAAGAGAGAATCTTGGAGTTAAAGCTAACCAGCACTATATTACACTTCGGATGGGTAAGGACGTATGCTGTCCATATTTTAAACATTTCGATTATGCGTCAGTGTGATGGACTCAAAACACTGGGTCGTGAAGATAGTTAATATTAACATATTTTGAATATTTGTTATTCCTACTTTTTATGGTTCCTAATGGTTTGCACAGTTGTTATTCTTGACTGTAAAATATTTGTTTTCATTTGACCCTGATCGTTCGCTGCCGTTTTGTTTTCAGTTAACATGACACTGATTTTCATTCATAAATTTACTGCTGCACACACACTTCTGTTTCTCGGCTGATGCGATAACAGACATCTAATACAGTCAATATCTACATCTACAAATCACAATGATATCCACATTGAGTGATTGTTAAGGCTATACAATATCTTGGATTATATTTGTCATATTTGGAATTATTGACTTTCTATTATTGTGGATTACGGGATCGAAACTTGAACACACTGGCTACTGACAATTTAAGTAAACCCCCCCATACTTTTTGTTTATATATTTGTGCATAAATTAATTGTCCTCATACTTTTCGCAATAACTCTATCATCTCCGCCTGTTACTCTTCCAAACCCGGATAAAGGACGTGGGTTGAGTGTGGAGTCGGAAACCCCATCCCGTAGAAAACAAAAGTGCCAAAAAATCCCGATCAAAAAACAAATTGAACCACTCAAACTCTGCACTCCAAGTTAAAGGTCCTTTATTATAACACCTCATGGTGAAAGCCGAGGTTCTTTGGAAGTCACGAGGACGGTGCCACTTCTAACAACCAGAGCAACAAGACCCTAGGTATGTGGAATGGACGACATCGGGTATGAAGACATTATGGGACGAGATGTAATGACTGGGAGAAAGGGACGAGAATGGAGAGAGGTTTGCGAATATATGTACATTCAACAAAAGGGTCATAAGCGCCACAACACTTCTGTACAAACGCATACATAAAGCTACATTGGTCAGAATACAGAAAATCAGATCGGTCATATCTGTATCACCGAAAAATTCAGAGGGTCAGTGGACGATGTGAGAATCAATAGACGAACTTCCTCAGCTTTAGATAACAACCTGATGGTCGCCAAGATGAAACTGAAGCTAAAAAAGCACTGTACAATTAGAAAATTGGACAAACACTGTTACAAAGGCTCAGTACAACCTTCCTTCGAGATACTGACAAACTCGAAGAATTCAAGATGGATCTCAGCAACAGGTCCCAAGCCTTACAGGATCTACTGAAAGAATAAGAAACTACGATGGAG